CTTTGGCTTTGCTCGTTTATGACACCCCACAGATTTTGTCACTCTGCGGTTGCTGGCACGGACATAGAATTACCAAGCCAGAGTCTCCATTTCACCGAGAAAACAATGGAGCTTAAGCATGAGGAAGAGACTCCAGGATCTGCTTTTCCATTATTTTCCAGCGTGGTATCTTAGACGTTTTTCTGTAATTAAAAAAAAAGTTGTTTTTTTTGTTTTATTCTCAATGCTTATTTGAGATGAAGTTGTCTAGTTCATCCAAATAATGTATAAAATTTGTTTCAGTTATTACAGAATGATAAAAAAAAGCTACCTGAAAAGGGACTTTTTTTTTAAATGCTGCAGAATGGTTTATGTAGTCATTATGAAACAATGCTGTTGTTGATACCAGACATGTCTTCTTTAGCTGAGAATTAAAATAAATGACATTTTGGTATATATACTGAATGCTTCCTTACACACATCGCTGATTATTTGGCAATGTTACAACCCCAGCAAAGACAGACAACTGGAAGAAACAGCTCACATGTAGGGTCTTGTTTCTAGCCTTAATGGTTTGTACAGATGTATTACGGCATAAATGAATGTGGATATTTCCTTCTTTTTGTTCCCAACATCTACAAAAGTAGGGCGCATTTGGATGTTCATTTAAAAAATGCTGTTACAATGCTGAATATCTTGCTACATAGGCTGGTGTTGAGAGCATGAGACATCAAGATTTGTCACTGCTTTGAAGACTTGTGTGCGTCCCTTTAAATTGAGTTGTTCTGATTATAACCAATTAATGGGTTGAAATTAGCCGTGTGATGTCCAGTTAAAGGTATAGAAGATTTTTTTTATTTCCGGGTGGATCATCCAAATAAGTGGTCTTCCTAACTGTCAATCATTCTGGTGATATGTTTACGTAAGGTCGTGCTACCTGATTGTCCCCAGTTAACTATCTTTTTCTGCGCACCCAAACTTTCAGGCACATATGTGTAGTGAGCTATGGTTTCAGCCAGTAATTAAAGCAAACTTTTTTCACCACGGTTCTCTGAAAATGCAAGATGGTTGTTAGAGAAAAAGTGTCTACGAACGGTATGAGAAGAAAAGAAAGGCCTCAGAAGAGGCAAAGCATTATGGGATTTGCTTTCACAGCGGCCCGCTGTAGCCATTGGATACTTATGTGTTTTGTTGTAGGCAATGTAGTTTAAAATCAGACAATCATTTTTTTCACTTTTACAATGTTTGAATATCTGCCAAAATTCTCAATCATAACCACAGAACAGGCTAAAATCGGGTTGCATCTGATTTAAGCCTGTTTTGTGGTCATAATATTTGAATAATTCTTTATTTCCTTTTCATAAGATCAATTTCTACCATTTAAACATTCTGGAAGTGCCAGTACAGTGGATACTGTTAGAAAAATGTGACTGAGACCAATGGGATGTGACAGTAGCAGCGGGGGTTGTCAAAGAGAGGCGTGTGGTTGGAGGAGTTAAAGTAGAAGTTTAGAGTCAAACCCGCTCCTTTCATGTGGTGGAACTCGGCCCACTTGAGAGGTTGGTGTTAAGTTACATGATTGGACCCAACTTGGAAAAGGCGATGATGGGTCCCACTGTCAAGATGACCATGATGAGTGTAGCCACGCTGGTTCCAGAATCCACAGCACATGTAAGCTCTTTTTTTCAGTGCAAACCTCCTCACACACTCTCATCACTACATTCGGTTATTGCCTCTTACGCTTCCATAGTTCATGTAAATCAAAACTTTTACATCCATGAAAAAATACTGAATGTAAATAGTGAAGTTGAAATATTTTTAAGGTTGAGCTAAGGATTTTTTTCAGCATTTAAATCAGAGATGGAGAGCAGTTTGGTCTAACTTAACATTGCTCTGCTGCTAACACGACTTATCAACACTGGTTTCATCTATCAAAACATCTCTCGCCAAGTGTATAGAAACATTTGGGCTTTAAAAATACTTCAGGATTAAACGTGTTTTTTTAAAGGGATATATCCAACAAATTTGTTCTTAAAACTTGGTGCACAGTGACGCGGTAGTTAGCACTGCTGACTTGCAACAAGAAGGTTCCAGATTTGATTCCCAGCCGGGTTTTCTCCGGGTCCACCAGCTTCCTCCCACAGTCCAAAAACATAACTGTTAGGTTAATTGGCTTCTCTAAATTGTCCTTAGGTGTGAGTTTGTGTGCGCATGATTCTGTGTCTCTGATTTGTCCTGCGACGGATTGGTGACCTGTCCAGGGTGTGCCCAGCGTCTTGCCAATAGACTACCGGACATAGGCAACAGCCCTACCACCACCCAGGCAGGGATAGGCGTGATGGAAAATGGATGGAATGGATTCTTTAAACCTTTTGACTATGTAATAAAGGCAAACCTTTTTCAAAATCATGAAAAAAGTGGCATTTCTTTTGATTCTTGTATGTCTGAGTTGGTAAAATATTTAAAATCAAATAATATTTCATAAAGAAATAACATTATTTTTTACTTCGACATTTCAGTGATAAATCTAGAGAGTTTGTTAAGGACAGCTTTATGCTCGGTGCAGCATAAAATAAGGATGAATTTGGAGAAGCACTTCAGTTCACAGTTAAGTATGGTGGCCTTGTTTCCACGAGCCGATGTTACAGCACACAGTAACAGCAGTCATTCCAAATATGTCTTTAAGGAAGATAATGATGATAAGCATATGGCTGATTCAGAGAGAAGCTGCAGTAACAGACAAAAATACAGAACAATTTGGCATGAGTTCTGTTGCACCTTTTCCATGGACCTGAGTCTGTTTCTGAGGATAGTGTAGCACCATCTAACATAGCTGAAATATCTGATCTAAAATCTTACAAACAATGCAGACGCTCTGCCAACACACAAACCTCCTCATTACTTCCAATCTCACTAACATTTACGAGACATATACCAACAGTACCTGATTGGTTTAGAGTTGTGCTTATTTTCTTTTCAGAAAGCAGCCCTGTTTACAATGAAGCTCTGTCAGACCTCTGAAAGGCACAAAAAACCTTGTTCTATTCGATTTTAGTGTAAACTTCCCTCTAATAAGTTCTTTCCTCCTCTGTGAGCTAGATAATCCTATTTCAGAAACCTTAACGCTTGCTGTTAGCCTGTTAAACTCAATATGTCCGCTCCAAGTACTCGGACTGGTAAGAATTAAAGAAGATGCATGACTGGAGCCCAGAAATTACTATCCTCAAGAAATCAAAAGTCTCCAACAATATAACCGTTTGCAAAATCCAACCTGACCCACAAACCCCTGGATTCATCTTATTTAGTACATATGCCTTTACACTTAGACAGGAATATATTCAGAGATCCACCTACACAACAATCAGATGATCAAAAGTCTAAGAAATGAAACAGAATTCAGAACTACTTGCCAATGTGTTGTTTTGCAGTGTGCAAAATATCCATGTGTGAGTGCATTGTAAAGGGTGAAGCCAGCAGCTTGTATAACCACAGATGCAGGAGGGAAAATGCACGGCTAGACTTTGTTATCGTTGCTACACACAAGTGGTAGAAATAAAAAGCAACATATGAAAATCAGAGAGAGGCACCAAGCCCTGTGGTTTCCAGGGTTAAACAGTAGAATATGTTTGCACTTTAAAAGCCACCAGATCCATAACTTAGTAGAGCCTCAGGTCTGTTTGAATAATTTACCACAGGTTAGAGAAGCAAAAAAACTTAATTTACCCAATCCCTTCCATTAAAATTATAAAATACTTGATTATTAATGCAATATTTCTTTATAAATTATTCTTAATTTTTACTTTATTTTTTAAATCCATGTTTTTACTTCTTGTGGCCACATTATAAAGTGTTTTGCATCTTTTAGCAGGGGTTTGTTGAATCATGTGACAGTGATCATGATGTAACTAAGGAGTGTGGGAGTTTGACTAAAAAAGAGTGGCAATGTCAGCATTGTGCTTCATCTTTCATGGTGTCCAAAGGGTCGCATAGAGACAAAATGTTTACTGGACAACACTATTGGTACATATTTGTGTTCTTATCCTTCCACTTAAAGTTAAACACACAGTGATGCAGCTCTGATTCACACAACTGCATAAAGGAAACAATTAGATTGATATATCGAGCATTTTATTGTCTGCTTATCCAAATATTCTTGATCCAGAAAGTCTACAAGTCTGACAATTCACACATCAGCATGAGCAAAAACCACACAGTTAATAAAGTCAAACGTACATGCACTGAACATATTTTATAAGAGAACCACATGGAAACTCCACACAATGCCTCAGCGACATAATGCATGGCTAGAATCTATCCGTGCAACCACATGAATTTCAGCAGCAGCATAAATGATGGTGAGGTAAAAGAATTAGGTGCTTTGTGGAGCTGGGAAAATTTGGATAAAGGCTATGCTTGAGTGTATGAGGATGAAACTTGAACGCGAGAGAGTATGCTTATTTCTAAAGTCACTTAAACACCAAAGTGGACCATGGATAGAAGTGATTTTCACAGTTCTTTAGAAAGAGGAAGACTTATTGCAGTGCCCCTGTGGGAGGATCAGCATGGGTGGGCTAACAGGCACACATGCAGTGTTGGATTAGAAAGCGGTACACCACGTCTTTTTACGACTAAGACATCTCTACATGGCCCTGCCTGTTTGATGGGACCTTTGGCGTTCCTCCCCCTCAATCATTCTGCTCCCTCTCTGCTCCTTCCATCAAGTTCTTTTGTGCCATTTGAAACAGCGTCACATCCGTCCACCAGTTTCCTTCCCCCTTAAACCTCAGTTTCTTTTTAAAACTGGGCTCCACTGGTCCTTTGTCAGTTAAAAAACTTCAGATGAATCCATTCAGAGCTACATTTGATTTTTACTTCATTCAATTCTCTTTAAACGGTAGACAGAAAAAAGGTATTGCACACAACTCACGTGTCCCCAACAAAAAACAAAAACAAAAAAACCTTACCCCTGTTGTTATACTGTATACTAATAGTACTGTGTGATGTTTTCAGGTTTGTAGTACCTGACAGTGAAAGATGTACTCTGGTGTAGCCTTCTTGAACTTGATGTTCCACACTAGGGCGACACCATCTGGTTCATGGGGTGCATCTTCATTGTTATTGTAGGATGCAACCAGTAATTCAGGATACTGTGGATACAAATGAAACAAAACCGTGAGGGTTACATCCTTTTTTAAACTGTAGTCATGTTTCTGACAACACATTGTCATGTTTTTTAACAATACATGTTGCTCTTGACATTCTACCGATCTGAATAGTGCATGTATACTGGGATCAATGGTGTAGAATTCACACTGCTGCATCATGGCAGGGTAGGTCACTTTTACATTGCATCAACATCTGTTTTAATTATTTGTTGCTTTTTAATACTAAAGGATCAACTGAGCAACTTGGTTTGGAATTTTAATGCTGCATAAGTGTTCCCAAATGGTTAAATAGTTGTTAGGTGGTACTGAGGGGTGTTGCTGTAGTCCCACGTCCAGGCAGGAAAAAACTAGAAGGTGGAAGAATTTCTGGGAAGGTGCCAGTTTCTATGGGACGTCAGAATGCTTGCTTGTCCCAAATGTGTTAAGCATTGGCCTGGCTTATGGGTGAACATTTTTAAAGAGTGGGGGGGTTATACTAAATTTGTATTAGGACAAATCCCTCATAAAGTGGGGGCCATGTCCCCAAGGGGGGCCATTGTAATATCAGGCAGCTGTCGTAGAAATCAACTGAATAAAAGACCCATTTTGGGACCTTCGTTCAAAGGTACCTATATTATTAATTTTTAATATTGCTAATAAACATCTAAATGTAAAATAGTCGCATTTTAATTAATTTGTGATCTGACATGGGAGCTGGATATGAGCTTGTCTGCCTGACAGTATGTTTCATAGATGAGGCCGCCTGTGGAGCTGGTATCTCTGCTTCTTTCTGTACGTCTGCTTCTGTCTTCTTGAACCCCAGTCGGTTTCAGCAGATGGCCGCTCACACTGAGCCAGGTTCTGCTGGAGGTTTCTTCCTGTTAAAAGGGAGTTTTTCCTCTCCACTATCACTGCATGCTTAGTGTGAGGGATGGCCTTCGAGTCAATGAGTGGATGGAATCAAGTGGTTTTCCTTGGATAGAAAATTTTCAATCAGAGATAGCTCTGAATACACAATAATAAAATAGAAAAAATGACTTGCATCCTTAGAGTAGTCTGAAAAAGTAACACAAGAGCAGATTTGGTTGAAATTCTGTTCAAGTATTGAGTATCTTATCTACTGACCACCGATGAAAATAAAAAATGATTTAATATTGTAGAACATAATTTAAAATCAAACTAAATATTAAGCGATATTTTAAAGAACAAGATAAAAATAAACAAATAACACAATAATTGCATAATAAAAAAGGTGGAGTGTACACTTTTCAAAATACATTTTTTTAATTTATAAAATTTATAAAATCAATGGTTATAGCATGTAAGAATAGGTTAAATTACAGTATAGATGTAGATGGGATTTTAAAGAAAAAACAGCAAATTTTAGGCCTCACCTGAGGGGACCAGTCGAGACACGTAATAACACGATGTTTTGACCAGTGCTCATCATAAAAGAGTCTGCTCAAGTATAAACTGGAGCCGCTTCCCAAGTCCCTGAAAGCAGATAAGAAGATGTAAGATGTTGTTGGAATCCCAACTAAGTCCAGTTTTAGGACCTAGTCCAAAAATAAATTCAAAAGCATGTACCTGCTGATGGGTAAAGACGTGGATGTGAATAAAACAATACAACCTCAGCCTAAATATTGTAATTTGTTTAGATTTTTTTTTTTTTTTTAGATTACCCGCTGATGGTGGTGAGCTATTTTGTAGCCACAGCCGACGGGGGGCAGGCTGGCAGAAGCAAGGCTGCCTTCAACTCCACCAGACCCTCTGATCCTCTAGCCCATCTTTCCATTTTTAGTTTATTTATTCAACCATGCTCTGTGATCTGTTCAAAGCTTGATGCTGCCCTCTGCATCTTTATTCCTGATCTTTTTGGTCATCTTTCTAATGATTTCTCACTGTGATGTGAGAACTTTAAAGAGAGGCTGTAGTTATACCAAGATATAATTTTTAAAGGCTGAAATCTTTATTAAAAAAAAAAATGGAGGAGCTCTAAAGCCAGTGTTATAAGTGTTATTTTGGGGTATCAGAGTACAGGGGGATAAATAGTGACAGTACAGACACAAAACCTTTCTCCTTCACTTTCATCTTGACAATTGTAAACAAACCTTTATTAACCTTTCTCATATAATCCCAACTGCAGTTGATAAGAAAAAAAACTCCATTATCTTATTTTTAACTAAAAATGAATATTTGTCTTATTTCGAAGACAGAAATACTCCTTCCTATTATAAGCTAAAATAACTAAAATTAAGGGCAAACAAACTTATTTGAAGGCATTTTTTATTTACCTATGTTCAGATCAGTTTTACAGTGAATAGATGATTTTCCCTTAGATATTAATAACAAACATCTGCTGACACAAAAAGTGAAGTCTGATTATTACTTTCTACCTCCTTCCATAGGATCCAAACAGCTTTACAGCTTCTATAGAGCTGAAAGAAAACTGCATGCCTTGCGTTTCCCCTCACAGAGTCTGTAATTTAAGCCAGCGATGAGCATATTCCTTAGGGTCAAACTACATGTTGTTCTGTTATGTCACTGGCCACAGCAGTAAGCTGTATGACAAGAGCTTATTTTAAACTATCCATGTCAACAAAGAGAAGACAAAGTGAGCGGACTACACACAGTCTTCTTTTGGAGTGCTAATTAAACTATATGTGCACCATTCCTACCGTGCTGGGTGAGACTGTATATAATGAAACAAGGCACTGGAATGTGGGTTATGTACTTAAGCTCTTAAAAGTACATTGTTGGGGAGGAAAAAAAAAAATACTAGGTCCGATCTTGAGCAATGGGCTACGGCCTGTTTTAGACATAATCTTTATTTGACCACAGGCTTCATACTTCGCTGTGGCTGCGGTGGTCAAAGTTGAAGTAAATCAGTAAAAGCAGCTCTTCCATAATAGCAGAGCAGTAACCGAAAACAGCTTTGCACTTCTGGCTAGAACAACTTCAACCAACGCTTTGATAACCTCTATTTTGAAAGCAGTCGCTCAGATGGCAAGAGAGCGCTGTGTAAGAAGCGATGGATGTCATTTCACAGGAATCTTTAACCATCTAAGAGCATGACCTCACTATGAGACAAGCTTCCTAAAGAACAAAGCAGCTCCTGGCACCAAGAGGGACACGGTGGGTTTGATTCACTATTATCACATTTGTGATTTGAAAATAAGCCAATAGATGCTACAAGCAGATTAAACCAATTTTCGAGTTATATCTGGATCACATCTACGGTACATCTTTAAAATATATGCAGTTTTTTCAAATACAATGGGGGTTTAAACTTTATTTGAACTTTTTGCAGAGTGCACGATAAAGTGCCGGAGATTCTCACCCTTCTTTGTCTTCCAGGTCACGGCCGCTGTAGTCAAAGAAAATGTCACCGTCCTCTGCGAGCGCTCTCTCCATCACCCGAATGCTACAGTCGAAAAAGCTTTGAAACTCAGAGGAGTGCAGGATCTGTTGTCGCTCCTCTTCCGTCAGCTCTCGCAGGAAAGGAAAACAACCTTTAATAAAATCAAGATAAATAGTGATTACAGGAAAGAAAATGAATCCATTCACTATCTTTCACCAAAAACCTCCACACATTATATCTGAGTCAGAAACCATCTGTTGTATAATGCTTCCTTAAATTTTACACGAGATGTGGGATGTTGTGTTCTTCTTGTTTTCTATTGTTAAAGTCCTCCAACTGAAGCACCTTCAGCCTTATTCACTTTGATTTGAAACATCCCCAACACTAAAGCACAGAATATATCCCTTCTATGAAATACAGCAGGTTCATTTGTGTGACGTTAAGTTGGCTTAAAAAAAAAAAAATAACTGCAAGTGCTACTAATTTGATGACTTTAAAAAGGGGAACGTTTAATTCTCAGTGTTTTCATTCATTTTCAAGAAATTTTAATGAGTGTGTTTCAAATACTTGCAGTTTGCTGTATAATGGTCAAGTTTTACCTTATTTTGAAGAATAGATGGTAAATGATAAATGGCATGTACTTATATAGCGCCTTTATTCAACTTAGGAGACTTGACCAAAGCGCTTTAGAACTACATTCATCACCCAGTCATGCACACACTCACACACTGATAGTGGCAAGCTACATTGTAGCCACAGCTGCCCTGGGGCTCACTGACAGAAGCTGGGCTGCCGTACACTGGCGCCACCGGGCCCTCTGACCACCATCAGTAGACAATGCAGGTGAAGTGTCTTGCCCAAGGACACAACAACACTGAAAGTCGCAGTCGGGGCTTGAACCATTAACCCTTCGATTTCAGGGCAAACTCCTACATCCAACACCACTGTCGCCCCCAATAGAGCCATTTTGCTCATCGAAAACAGTCCTTTCTGATGCAATAGATTTTTTTTTTTTTTTTTTTTTTTACAGTGTCCTGTCTGGCAAGGTGGCAATAAGAATAATTGTCTTGATGCCAAAAGGAGCCCAACAGATTTTACTTTCACAAGTGTAGCGGTATCGCAATTGCCATACTGCTCCACTTGTTTCATGTATATAAATTGCTTTATTATAATTATGCAGGGAGTTTTACAGTTCATATGGACACTGCAATGTTAGTAGAGCAGAAAAACAGAAGAAGAAGAAGGAAAAAGAAAAAGAAAAAAACAGGACAAAAGATGAAAGAAAGAGGAGATAGGAAGGAGACAATGACAAAACATTTTCAGTCTGCTTCAACACCTGTAATGAGATGGAAAAAAAAAAAAAAGAACAGCACAACCAAAAAACATGGTACGAGATATACAATAAAGCAAACACCTTGAAACTATCGCTAAAGTAATATTATTAAGTCTGACATGTACTCTGTGTTACCTGAAGATATGAATGTGGGGTTTCTGTTTGGAAGTGAATCTCTAAGTACCTGAAGCCTAGCACCTGTAGGTGCCACACAGGTGCTAGGCAATGGATTTTAAAGCAACCAGAATCTGCTAATCTGGTGAAAATCAAATGCTAGCCTTAATTAAACACAATTTTCTTATTAAGTTACACTTTTCCTCAAACATCTGCTTCGTTATTTGTTTGTTATGTTGGAGCATGTTAATAAATCCAGCAACAACTTGAATTTTGAGAAAATTTCTATATATATAAAACAAAAAAAACATTCTAATTAGAGTGGACTCTTTCTCACAAAGTATAGCACAGTAATATATAATATATACCGGTAATAGTAATATATCTGTTATGGTTTCCCCTTTGGACTTCTTTTTGAGTATCTTTTTCAGTTTTAAGTTATTTATTTCATTCTGTTTTCTTGGTTGTTGGTTTCTTTTCTGTTTTGTGTCATGGTAGTTGTTTTCTAATTACATTTAAGCAGTGTTGTGTTTTCTGTGATGCTGTCTGTTGCCTTCTTGTGTTAGTCTCTTTTCCCAGGGGGCCCAGTCACACCTTGACAATTTAGACCAGCATATCTCCTAAAACGCTGCCAATACGCCATTATATGTTAGCTGTAATATAGAAACACGTTCATCGGTTGTCTGGAACCCGTTAGATATGTTGATATAAGTTGGAGGTAAGTTCTTGATAAGTTACACGTATGTTATGCACACATTACTCATAGGTTTTGGATAAACTACTCTTTGACTTATGAGTAACTTACACTTAACGTGTGTCAACAATCTGATAATTTATCTGTAACTTATGCCCCACGTATGAGCATACGGTGGCATTAAAGCATGCTTTAAAACATAAAAAAAAAAAATAATTGTTTTACAGCTTTAACTGAAACTGGTATTTCATGCACTTTTAGGAAAAACAAAGGCTTCTTCCAGCCAATTAGCATTCTCTTCATCTCAATGAGAACCAGAATCAGATCCAGGGCATCATAAACTACAGATAGCTTTAATGGATGTTTCCAAGTAAAATCCTTCAGCAGAACTTCATAAACAAGAGAAAAACAAAGCCCTCTGCGGCCCGCCTCCCTTTGAACGTAATGGCTGCACAGCAAGGCGTCCGGTTTTTGAAGTCACTGTCCCCAAGCACACACGGCATTTTACCCGCTAACACGCATGCATGAAGGCACACATGCATCGACCTTTACCCTGCCTCTTGACTTTGATCCCCTCATCCCTTTGTACGTCCTTAAAAGTTGTCAGAAAAGGCCCAGTGAATCAAGTGGCACAGATCAAAGGCCAGGCCTAATAGGCCAGGATGAGACGGGTTATTGTGTGTTTTACGACTGTGCGTATGTGTTTGTTTTCTGCTGGCTACGGCCAGAATTTTCCCTTTAATTCATCTGAATATGCAGATATCCATCCACCCAACCCTTTATTATCTCATATTTTAATCTACCTCAAAAGCCTCGTGTCATTTTGCAATTCCAAACTGTATGCACTTTTCACATGGAATGCACACAAACACACTTCTCTTTTCTTTGAAATGTGGCCAAAAGGGTCAAGTGACAGGTTTTTAATCAGCGCTGACCCCCACATGCCATTGAGCTGATATGGTGGACCCTCCTTAACCCCAACTGTAACCTACCCCCCCTCCTTACAATCAGATACAGCCATTGACTGGGTAAAAAGTGTCACACACGAGTGGTCACGTTTCATCACAGTCTCACGAGCAACATGCAAGAAGCAGAAGAAGGAGAGCTTTTGTCTTCCCTGTTAAGTGCCTTAAGGTGACGTGCTGTGAATTGGTAACATATAAATAAACTGAATTGAATCTGCAACAACTTTATGTATGTATATATATAATGGTTTCAAATGTGTACATAAAAAAATGTAAGGAGCAAAAATAAAACTAGATAATAAAGAAATCAAAATTTTGTAATATAACCCTTTTTCAAACCAATTTTTATAAAAGATTAAGTCTGTCATTAAATTAAAAAGCAAGTTGAAAAAACTCTTGAAGTAATGCTGCAGAGATGAATTTTACAACCTATAATTTATCCATAGTCAGTTATGAAATCTGAAAAAAACGTATTTGTGTACAGTTATCATTTAATCTGTGTGGTTGAATGCAACTATGGGAATCTAACAGTTTGTAAATGCCAACATAAAATTTTGGACATTAAAAAAGTGGATATAAGGCATGAGTTGCTTTAAGAATGCATGTCGTTATATTAATCAGGGTATAGTGTTGTGACTGCGACGGCTAATTCAGATTTTTTGGAGCTTGTCTTTCTTAAGTAATTATCAGTACTACCTATTAAAGTTACACCGATCCGAAACTTTGAGTAAATATTTGCTCCAATATTGACTAATTAGGATCTGATATTGAATAGATGATGCCGATCCAGCATTCTGAACCAATAATTTTTATTTCAATTGATATCATACGCAGAAATAAATGTATAGTATTGGATTGGATCAAGAAATAAAACCAAACGGTGTCTCTATTATCGACCTTACCTGTAGTGGAAAGGTGTCATGTATTACCTTAGGATCATTGTAGAGCTGACTTCAATTATTTTAAACTCAAAATAAAAAGGTTCTGAAAGTAAACCTTAAGGTTTTCCATCTGCAGTGCATCAGCTTCCAAGTGTAGTTGTTAAGTTTCTACCACTTCACAGGTGTTCTTTGTTTTTAAAAGGCTCATAGAGATGGAGATCTTATTAGTTTTCACTAAAAACATTTACAGAGAATCACTTCCAGAAAACCAGAAAAAGCTTTTAAGTAATACATCTGACATCCAGCTAAAGGGATTTTTTTTAGCCCTCACTTTACCTAATTCCAGATCTTTCCCATTGTCCTACTTTTGAAATAAACTTTTTATTGTCAGTGTCATGATCTTGACTTTAATAGCTAACCTAACTCTGTCCGGTCACCAATTATCACTCATCTCATCCACCTGCCCCTGCTGCTTTACATACGGCTCAGTCCCAGCTATCGGGGGCCAGACCACTGACTTTGTTTTGAGTTTGACTTTGAGTTCATAGCTCATGTTTTTGTTCATGTACCCGTTCTCGGAGGCCAGTGGTGAGAGAGGGTTTTTAGTGTTTTTGTGTGTTCCTGATCATGTCCTGTCTCTTATCCTCCAAGCGTGCCCTCTTTTGGCTCAGTAGAGGGAATTCATTTTAAGGTGCCGTAGTTTTCCTGATATCAAGCCTTGTTCTTCCTCTCAACTACTGAGCTTGCCTGTTCCCATCTGAATGTTCTGCCTGAAATCTCTGTGGACTCCTGAAACCCTGGATTTGTCTATTCCTGTTCTGATAGGAACTCCTGACCGCGTTACGGTCTCTGTTTTCTGAGCCTACCTATTCTGAACTGTTTCCCTGACCTGGCTCAGATTCATGCCTGTTCACTGGGGCTGCAGCAACTGGTGCTCCCGTCGCATTTTGTTGGCAATCCATTGGCTGGATCCTACTTCGTTTAAGGAACTGAACTGTTAAACAAGGTAAGTGACTCATATGGATAATCATCTTCAGTCAGATTATTATGGTCACTTACCTGTGTTTCTCCCTAACCAGCGTTGCCAGTGGTGGGAGGTACTCCCCCTGCTAACGCTGCAGATCCACAGCTCTGCGTCTGATATATATTTTTATTATATGTTTGGAATCTTTCCACTGTCTGTCCCACCTTAAATATTTGGTCCTACCTTGTGAGCTTATTACAGGTAGAATTTTTTCAGGGTTCTCACACTTTCGTATCCAATTCTAGAACTTTAAAAGATCTTTCCAGGAAAAATGTCTTCAAGGATCTAGTGTCGCTTCAAGACCCTCTGCTACCACTGTATTTGTCATCTGTAACTACATTTACATGGACATAAGTAATCAGAAACAACAGCCAATTGGACTAAAAATATGTCATGTAAACATGGCAGTTGGAATATTCTGATTGGATATGACAGGATCCAAAATTATAATCTGATTGAGAGGATTAATTTATGCCAACTGACAATCCTGCCGGTATGTATGTAGATGCAGGATGGGGTTATTCAAAATGAGGCAGGCTGAGCTGAGTGCACAGGTGACCCCACATTATAGTGACGTATTACCCTTATTAGTGACCAGATTCTATGTCAGAATATTCTAACTGGCATCCTTACATGACAGACTTATATTCTGATTAGCCATTTAATTCAGTATCATGTTTTTTTGTTTTTTTTTCAGTGCATCTAAACATAGCAAATAAAAGATTTTTGGACAATGAAATTGTATTAACTAACTGAACAATATAGAAGTTGTTGGATCAGATCATGATAACGAGGATATTTGTGTCTTTAGTAAAAACTAATACTTTTAATCATTTTAATTTATTGTTAATGATCACAAATTAGTTTTTTTGAATATCTACAGATGGAAAGTTTCATTCTTGAATCATGTTCAGGTACTCAGAAACTGAAGCAAAGTGCATAGGATTTACCTAACATTTGAATTAAAATTGGGTGATAGCCTTTCCTTTAGCCCTAGCTGCTTTTACTAATCTGTGTACCAGTGTGTGGGTGAACTTGGAATTGTAGAGTAACAAAAAATGCTTCATTAAGCAATGCATATAAAAGTTGTAATAGATTTTATTGATGCACAAACAGGTGGATTGTCTAGACAGAAATAAAATGGATAAATGCAGTTATATTTGAATTAAGGCAACAGTCCTTATAAAGGAGCGAATTTCATGCTCCTCTGACAATAAGCTAAAACTGAATGAAAGAAAAAATCTTGACGATTGACTTTGTCTATTTTCAAAGGATTGAAACATTTCAACAGGAAATCCCCTTCATTCAAACAACTCATTAAAGTGACTGCATCTCAGCAGCTGCGAGGAGGCAGGACCAGAATTTAAGTTACTCGGATAAACTTTGGATTTGAACTTAACTGAGAAATCTATTTGAACTTGATTTACATTTTGTATTTTTATCTATCAAAGTGTAGCAATAAATACTCAAATGTAAAAAGAAAATGTTTCTGTTGTCAAAAAGGGACTGGAGGCGGAGTTAGAAGGTATTCCTTCTCTGTAAAAAAAATGATGCATGAAAACATTGTGATGGATCTGAATTTAAGGCGATTAAAAAATAAAAAATGTATTTTTCCTTACAACTATAAATCAATTTGCTGATTAACAATCCAATTACGTCAATTCAAAATTAAAACATTGATCCACATCTTCATCTTTAGCATATGCCTTTATTTTGAAATTTACAAGAAAAGTGGCTATTAAAAACAGGTGATCTATTATCATTGTTATTTTTTCTTTATATATTTGGTAAAATATAGTTTTTGATTTTAAATATTGAATATTTTTGTGAGCTGAAATGAATGTAAATAAATAGTATGGCACTAAATGTTATAATTTGGAAACTTGTGAGATGGACTGAATGGAAATCTTATCCTGAGAGAATTTGCGATATCCGCAAACTTTGTATCCTCATCCAAAAATATCCATATGTCATATGGTGATCAAGCTTTCAGGATCATTTCTATTTGGGGTAAACCTTATTTCAAAAATACTGACATGGTGAAGTGGGTTGTTTACTGTTTACTCTTGACAATAGATTCAAATCATTTTAGAACTAGAGAGAAGAGGAAAAAGAATTGTCATGTTTAAAGACTGAATTGAAAATATATGATTTTCTAGATGCCTGTCTTTCCTTTTTCCTGTCGATGCAGATGTAACTAAGTCACCTATCTCAAATCTTTTTAGTTATTTTCTATATATTGTATTATATAAACTCGTATATATGTATGAAGCAGAGATAGCAGAGGTAAGTTTTCCTAGAAAGTTGTTTTTGCATGTAAACCATAAACAGACAAAAAGAGGCGTTCATTCTGAGAAAGGTAATAGATTCATACTTTATATTTCCAATCTACCTGGGAGTCAATAAAATCCCCAAAATGCCGTCTTTATGCTTTATTCAGATGCTCTACGTACCATCTTTGGTCTCCTTGTTATCATCATCATCCCGCAACTCATTCTCTGGGCCAGGCTTTGCTTCCAACATCTCTTCATCCTCCTCTTCTTCCTCTACTGAAAAAAAAGAAGAAAAACAAGCGAGAGAGCACTCATGTTAATCAACAGCTGTTCCAATTTTCCTTGACCTCCCCCTGGGTGCCTCCACCCCCCTGCTTCTTAACAAAATAATCGTTCCCAGACATGCGCTGGTACACCTGACTAACATTCACTCTGAATGGGTTGCATCATACAAACAGAGAGAGGCTTGTACCTGAAGCCTGAATGTTGCTCCGTTTCATTTCTGTTTCATTTCGTCCAAGTTAAGCAACTTTGTCTCGGGGCGGGGGGGCTTTAGAGCAAAACCTGCTTTTGAATGTTTCAGTGATCATCACAAGCGCACACAGTCCACAGGAAATGTAAGTCCTGAGCGCTTTCCTCTTCCACACTTCACCTTTGACCCCTTAGAATAGAGACCTTGTGATGTGTGTGTATGAGGGGATTCCCTCTGCATTTACTCTAATCAGGCTCTGCAATTATGTTTGACTCTCCAGGATTTATATGAAGTCTTTGCAGTGTGTGTGTTTCGGGTTCAACTATGAAGGGTTACTGTCAACACAGGCACCTGCTTGTCAGCTACTGCCCCCCCTCCACCCTCAGGGTCTGTGTAGGTAACCTTCGCCAACCTCTTCTCATTTTGACTCCACCCACCCTCTGAAAACAGATGCCGACAGTCAGCGGCGGGGGGGGTCTCCTCTCCAAAGACCTCTTAACACCCTGACATCGTGACCAGACACCTGTGGCTCGACGGCGTGCACACTAGACACACATACAATCTGTCATTCTCTGCCTCTGGAGCACTCGCAAGCGGGGGCCCTCGCCCGGGGTGCCAGGGGTGGCGAGGGGTTAACTGGCAGGGTCGAGCTGACAACAGTTGCTCAGTCCAATGGGAGGAAGTGACTACATCACACCCTTTAGAAATGCTGCGCACGGACGCGCGCACACACAGACAGGACAGAGTGTGTTTAACTCAGCTGGAGCACGGCATAGGGCACTGTTAAAACCACTCGCTCAGAGGGTACCGGATGAACTGTCCATTATCACCCACGCTGGGATAAGCTTTTTATAAACTCCAAGCTCCGAGGGTTTCTATATAATATTCCTGTGAAATTCATGTTTGAAAAAAAATATAGAATTTTGACCCTTTTGCTTTCCTGCTTTAGACTTTTGTTAAGGATAAAAATGAAAATTTTTGAATAATTAAGGGTTGAAACTCAAACATCTTTCATAATTATATGAACAAAACAGTAGCTGGGTTATCCGTTTAATAAATTTATTAAATTAGTCTTTGCAGAACATCTATTCTCATTCATTAGGTTTCTTTTTTACTTCTTCCACTAAAACAAATATGATATATGACTTTAATTTTCATTTTATGTGTGGATAATAAATGACTACAGCTAAATGAAATACATGGTGCTCAGCCTCCATCCAAGTTGGTGGTTAACAGCCAGTAGTCCTGATCCAAACACCAGTGACCCAACAGTGGGGAGTAGAGGCAAGAGAAACACAGACAGGCAGACTGCCAGACTAGCTTCATGTCTGAACGGCTCTAGCTGACCCGATTCTAACAGAGTACACAGCAATATGCTATTTTCAGCTCCCTTTTTTTCACATATGCTCCATTTTAAAAAGCCTTATTTCTCTCTAGTGTGGAGGGGTTTTTTTTCCACATCTGTCAATCATTTTCTCCTCAACAAACTGCGGTTATTAATCTGAAAAGCTTCAGGATGTGAAAAAGGGGAAAGCAGGAAGATACATTACACACAGCTACTATTCTTCTCTATTTTCTTGACCTTATGTGACTGGTCCGGTGGTTGGAATGTGTGGTGATGGGGATGGGAGGAGCATGAGGAGAGGAGGGAGACCACATTGAGGAGCGGTCAAGCTGTCAGTCCTTGGGACCACAGGAGTCTGGAGCAAAGGAGCGTGATTCATGGCCTATGGGTTACCTCACGGAGGGGAGAAGGTCCAATTCCTGTACGAAGATACTGCTGATGTCTCTGCCAATGGCCATGCATCAAGAACTTCTGTCACAGTCCCGCACCAAAATATCCCCACTATTTCCCCTCTGTGGGTGTTTTTTAGATTTTTTTTTTTCTTTTCTTCTTTTTTTTTTTTATGCGAGCGTTAAAAACATAGAAGCAAGAAGTGAGTTTTGGCAAATGAGAGGATAAAGAAGAAGCGATAGATATAAAAATTTATGTATAGCATTTAAGGAAACACACAGAGAGGATCCACATGGTTTCCTATTGCATCGTAAAAGGAGCCGTGAAAGGAAATTATGAGAGACAATCTCACAGTGTGAATGCCTCTGCCTGCTATTCCTTATGTATCAGCACACCTTCCTGTTTCCACCTTATTCCAGTCTCGAGACACTTTCCTCTTTCCACCTGCAGCTTAATACCTCTCCTCGCTGCAGGACGACCGCTTAACTGGTATCCTCCTACCTCAACGTGGGCAGAGGGGGGCCCACCTTGATGAAACTCCACTTGGGGGCTCCTGTTTTTGTCCGGCTACACACCCAGGCTAATGATATCCTCGACAGCCCAAGCGTCTGCATCTGGCTGCTTCAATCTTCTCCCAGCTGCTTACTCATGCTGACTGGGCCCAGTCAATTCAGAGCAGACCAGCGGGTATGAAGATATACAGTATTACTACACATACACACATAGCGAAGTAAAAGTGTAAATACTCCTACACCTTCAAGCTGCTTGCTCTGGTGCAGCAGACCAATCTAAAATTATAACATTTTAGAATAAAAATATGTTCCTTAACGCAAGAAAAAAAAAAGTCTCACATGTCTCCCGAGGTGTTTAACCATCCCTGATTGCACCTCAGGTAACCTCACCACCAGCTAATGGTCTTAAGTCAGGGATTAAAAGCCTCCAGGACATACTGAGATCTGATTGCACCACGTTTTGAGCTGGTTGGGAATGCGTGAGGTCGCACTATTTTTGCAGGGTGAATGCTAATGTGTAAAGGCTACACATCCAGCTGACATGACGTCTGCTGCGGATAAAATAAGGGCCCCTTTAAGAGTTCCACCAACTTGAATCAGTTGTTTTTGCTGTTGGCAGAATAATTTTAATAAAAATAAGCCACTTCTACATAACCTCCAAAATTATTTTCATCAGCAGTAAAAATGTATTCCATCTATAAATATGAGCAGATTTGGATGCTTTCTTGCAGTCATTAATAAATGTAATTCATGAGGATCAACACACATCTGAATTAGGGTTTGTCTGCTTGGTTTTCCCATTTTGAAAAGAGACAAAGGGAAACAAGCTATAGTTCCATGCTATTTTAATATTCCGGAGAACTGAACACTCCATCTAAATAAGATGGGAAAACTAAATACTTAGACAAATGTACATGCTTGATTTAATGGTGGAGGCTGTGGTTTGAGCCAGAGTCAAAAAGGTCTGATCAGAAGTGTCATACTCTTTAGTTTTCGTTTTTGCTTTATGCTCTATGTTAATGGCCCGTTATTGTTACGTTACTGTTGTCACTTTTTACCCATTTGCAATCCATCGCATTTTTCTGTTGCCAGTAATCACCACCCCACCCTAAAACCTTTGTGATTCCTTCCTACTCTTGTCACTAACTACTTTTACTCCCAATGACTGGTTGGAGTTTGGGCGTCTTTCTATGATGTATTGTTTTTTTTTGTTTTTTTTTGTACTAATTTCTGATTGAACTACTAAAACTTGTACATTTGTATCCATCTACCTTGCAAAAGCCTGTGTCTGTCTGTGTTCATAATCCATACAACATGGCATAATGTGGATAAAACATGAAGGGTAAGATATGGGTGAAGGGTAAGCCTGACAGTTCCAGTCATGTGAGCAATGGCGTAAATATGGGTAAGCAGAGACAACAGTTGCTTACGGGCTCGATAAGCATCTTCAATGGGTTTTTGGAACTTGGGATGTCTGTAACTTGTGGTGGTCACCAATGGTTCCATTCAAAGTGCGCAGTCCCTATTTTTTGGGGTGTGATATGTGATCATATACTACTGAAAATTGCATAATTGTATCTTCTTGGTGGATTTATGGAACTGTCCCATATCCTAAACCTTTATCACGTGTTGTACTTCATATGGGGCCCACCCAGATAATGTTGCTTATGGGCCTATTGTAGTGTCGTTACACCATTGCATGTGAGAGAACTGAAATTCTACCTGACAAACAGACCACAGTTTGTTAACCTGAAGGGTCACCTGTCTAATCAAGTGGTCAGCAGCACAGTAGCACCATAGGGACGGTACTCTCACCATTCCTTATTACTATCTACACCTCTGACTTCCAGTACCAGATACAGTCCTGTTACCTGCAGAAATACTCAAATGATCTGCAGTCAATGGGTGTATCAAAGATGGACAAGAAGCTGAGTGCAGAGAGCTGGTGAACTGATTTGTTGAATGTTGCTGGTGAAGATTCTCAGTCATCCAGGTCATAGTCATTCCAAAAAGGTAAAAAAAAAATCAACTGAACTTTGTTTCAGAGTATGAAAAACGTTTCACTTGAATTTGCATGTTTGGGCTTTGTTTTTGGTTGTCTCTATAAAGCTTCGAACTCAATGCTGTTTCAGACATTTTGAATTGAAAAAGCTTCCTGGATAGGAAGCGAAACATCTTCCATTTGAAATGCTTTGTGGCATGGTGTGGAAACAATTATCTGATCCTAAATGTCAACAAAACAAGGGAAATGATTGTAGATTTCAGAAGAAACAGGAACAACTTGAGCGCTGTTAATATCGTGGGAGAAGAAGTAGCGTAGTGTCCCATTTCCGGTACAGATCAGGCACAGATGCGTGATAAAGCAGAAAGGATTTTAAGCCATTTATTTTCTCATTAAATACATTATTAACCTTTAACTCATTATAGTTTAGTGTGTTTAATATTTTTGGGGAGGGAAAAACGTAATTGAGGTTATTTTACAAAATAAAATTGAGGGCAACCCGGATGTATATCTGGTTGTGCATGCGCAAATGAGCTGATCGGGTAGTGACACTGC